AAAAAAAAAAAAAAAAAAAAACTTAAAAAGTGACTTGTAATTTTATTGATTCCACAAACACAGTCTGCAGTGAAGCTAGATATAGAGGGAGAAAGGTCCACTTTCTATCCTCAAGGAAATTACTTTAGTGAGTGAATTAAACTTAATCTTGTTTATCATAGGCAAGACAGAAGTTTCAAAGGAGCTCTGTTTCTGCTCTGAGCCTTTTTTCCTATTAAAGAAAAGAGATGCCCATTGGCTGGCCATTCTGTGTCAGCCCACATGCATTCAACAAATACTGACCCTCAGTTTTAAGTTTAGAAAAAAAAAATCATGGAAAACTTAATTCCAACCACATATGGCCAGCCCATGTGATAATAGTGATCTGTTCAGTTGTGTGAACATGGGATCATAACCATACTGTCAGTGTCCATTCCTGAGTCTTCCGCAGAGTCAGGGAGGATGTTAACTCACAAATATAATTGCCACTTTCAGACATCATTTCTCTGTTTATTATGGCCAGTACATATACCCAGCAGCCCAGGACATGGCATGGTTTGTCTTTTCCTGTGAGCAGTGCTGTTGCTATGCATCTGAAGGGAGAAGAGATGGAGGAAAAGCAGAACAGGATAAATAGAAACAGTATAAACATTTGACTGTATGTTTACTTTTTTCTCCCCCCAGTGAAGAGTGAATCTACCAAGAACGTTGGCAGTGGAAATTGAGCACTTCTGGAAGGTGAAAATTCCCAGACAGTTGCAGAGGATTATGCATTGCTGGACTATTGGATGATCAGTGGGCAGTGGGAATATTAATTGTCTCTAAAGTAATTAAATAATCTAAACTTTTTTTGGTACAAAAACATCTTCTAGACTCTTCAGTTAATTGACCCCAGAAGTCCCCTTTTTGGTAATGTGTAACACTTTCTGCACTTAGTCCTTAACATGGTTAATTCTGTAGGCTGAAGATGTTTTGTTAGTTTGCATCAAAACTAAACCAACCTGAAGACGGCCTTCTCTAACAGAGCTTCCCTAAGGAGAGCCGCCACGCCGGGTACCACCTAGCCCAAGAGGAGTAAGCCCCTCAGTTGCCTATTCCTATTTTGGGGATTTATTTGTAACTTATCCCATTGTACTTGAGAAACTCCCAATGCAATGTCTTCTGGAAAGGCTAGGTCAGTACTTAGCTACTGTTTCTTATACTGAGATCAGAAAATCAGCAGCTCTACATTGTTTGAACAATCATTGTTAATCAATCTGACACTTCTTGCTCACATAATGAGATGTCTTAGAAATTCTGTGCCTCTTCTCTTTCCCAGTCCACTCTCAATTCCACACAAGCAGAGAATTGTGATGACCAGTTTGTGTCCCTGTAGCAGATAATGGGATACAGATTTCGTAACTATAATGTCGATCATGTCCTGTGTACATTTTAAGTTGGCATATACTGTATATTGTATCTGATTTAATCCAACAATAACCAAAGGGAAAAAAATTGAAACTAGTGTATTATTGAAATGTATGTGTGTTATTGAGTGTATGCATGGCTTAATTTATACCTTATGGCAGCTCACTATTTGCTAATTTTATTGGAATTTCTACAGTTGTGAAATAGCACTAGGACTATAAAAGATTAAAAGATTATTACATCTGTAATGCATCTGTGTACTTAATAGTTAAAAAAACTGATAAAATAGGGGATTTAATAAAATTCATTATTAGTTTACAGTTGGAACAAATTCTAGACCCTCTCTCCCCCCCAAAAAAGCCCAAAGAAATGTTGCAGAAACTTAGAAAGATTAGAAATATGAGCAGTTACAAAATAAGCTCCAGAGTTTGTGTAACGCAGTGCATGAGTACCTCTGGATAGAAGCTGGAGAAGAAAAGTCCAAAAGACAACAGTGTCTGAAAGGCCACTTCATAAAGTACCAGTGGAGCCGCTCAATAGCACATGCCTGTGACCCTGTGTTGTGGGAGAGGTTGAGACGGGGATTGTAAGTTCAAGCCCACACTGGGCAATTCAGTGGGATCCTGCCTCAAAATAAAAATTTTTTAAAGAACCAGGGAGGATGCAGCTTAGTATTAAGTCTGTGGGCTCACCATTCCAATAGCCAAAGAAGAAAAAAGAAAAGTAGAAATTGTTTTATAGAAAGTTAGCCCCACAATCTGAGAAATATTTATATTTCTTTATGTATAAATTTTATTTATATCATGAAGCAACTTCAGGAATCTCATATTTGAAGGAATTTGTGTAGAATTGTTTGGTTTCCAGTATTACTAGATGGACGACTAAATTGGGTTTCAAGCGATTCAGACTTAATCCAAAAGTGAAAAGTCTTGAAACAGGCAAGAGACAGGATGAGTTGAATCAAATTTGTAATAGGGTTGTTAGGAAAAGTGGGATAAAGTACACAAAAAGAGCGTACGATCTGAGTATCAGGGCGGAGAGGAATTTCCTGAGAGTGAAATATGTTATGATGTAGTCTCATTTCCAAGAACAATGTTGAGCCCCATCCCTTCTAGAATTTAAATTGAAAACTGGACAAAACCCAAAAGAATTAATTCTGTGCTTTCCTGTGCCAAAGAAGAAATGAGGAAGCAGGGTTGGGGGTGGTAGCCCTTCGTGATCTAAGGCATCTTTGCCATCTCTATTTTCTAGAATTTGGGGGCCTGCCCCTTAGCTCAGTTCTTTAAGTGGATGCTTCAACAAAGCAGTCAGGCTCAGGTTGCTGTGGTTCGATCCCCACAACTCAAGCCAGGGAATCATGTCCTGAAGGCATTCGGAGCAAAAAAAAAAAAAAAAAAACCTTCTATTTTCTAGAATTCTATTAGACTTTTCAGTTGTAACCTTTTTTTTTTTTTTTTTGCAGAACCAGGGATTGAACTCACACAACCTATTCCTTGGGAAAGAATGTAGCTAGCAGAAGTCGCATAAATAGCAGCTCATTTGGTTAGTTACACATTCGTTTGCATAGGATTTATAATAAATGTGAATTTTAGTAAACAGGCATGTCAGACGTGGTGAGAGTGAAGTTTAATAATTCACTGGGAGCCCCAGAAGTGTGTAGTCCTCTTTTTAGAGAGGTCCTATCCCTTTTGGATTCTTGGCAAATTCTGATGTGTAAACAAACTCCTGGACCCATGTTAAGTTCAGCATCCTGCAGTTTGTTCATGAGTCACATTTTAGGAGAAAAGCTTCACCTGGTCTCATTTTTTAAACTGACTTTACAGAGAATCTAGGCTTTGCATAATTGCTAATTATATGTGGGATCAGTTGTAGACAACAATATAATAAAACTTGTATCTATTCCCGTTATAAGAATTCAGCCTTGGGGCTGGAGAGATGGCTCAGTGGTCTAAAGCACCTACTTGAAACAAGCTTGGCAAAGCACAGGGACTGCGGTTCGATCCCCCAGCACCACATGCCAGCCAGCCCGCCCCCTGGTGGGCTGAGCTGGCCACACACACACACAATAAATAAAAATAAATAAATAATTAAAAAAAAAAAAAAAAAAAAAAAGAATTCAGCCTTACTATGTTAGGTATTTGATATTCTGAAGCTGAGCCAGTTTGGCCAGTTTGTTTCACTATAGCAGATAATGGGATACAGATTTCAGAATATCAAAATATATTAAACACAACTATAATATCCATCATTTCCTTCTTACATTTTAAGTTGGCATATACTGTATATTGTACGTGATTTAATATTACTCAGTTTATATTATCTCATGTATTTTACCTCATTTAATACTACTAAATTTTATATAGAGATGTTGGTCTACTTTTATTTTTAATTGTAAACTACTGTACTCCATTGTGTTAAGTTTACTTTCAGGTAGACATTAATTCATTTTTTTTTTCAGTGCTGAGGTTTGAACTGTTGCCGAGGCAAATGCTCCACCAGTAGGCTACACAGCCAGCACCTGTTAATGCACCTTGAATTATTAACCAAGCATCCTTCCAAGTCCAAGTGATAGAAATGGAAACTAATGTCAGCGTGAGGGACAGTTTATTAGTTCATATTTGGGGGGTATAGGCAGGACTACCAAGCACCGGAAAAGGCATCTTGCCGCCACTCCACCTCCCCACCCCTGCCCACACTCAGCTTTAGTCCCACCACCCTATTGGTTTTACTGCCCCGAAAGATTCTCTCTTTGGGGTGAGGGTCTTTGAGGTAAGGATGGTAGATAGTAGCAATTGGCAGTTTCAGATTACTTCATTATAATCAGTGAAAGGATCACATTCTTGATTGATAGGAATGACATTTTCCCACAGAAAGAGGAATTATTAAAAGAAGAGTATAGGAGGCAGGTGAAGAAAGACTGGGTGTCCACTATACCCTGTTTGAATTTGAGTAGTGTATCAGTGTTTACTAGAGAGAGAAGCTTTCAGTGACCCCTGCCCCCCAGAGGCAAGTGTGGTAGAGTGCAAAAGATCAGTGTCCTGGGAATCTGAAGAATTGCCAAAGGCCTGCAGCCCACCACAGTGTCCCTCATGAGTCAGTATCAGGAAGCCAATGAAAAGCTGAAGAATCTGCACTGGAAGCAGGAGGTGACATCCAAGACAAAGGCAAAACTGGACCACCTCAAAGAAACAGAAGCAATCTTTCCTTCTTCATTTCCATGTAGTACACCATTCTGGTGACAGTCTTGCCTAGAGAGGCTCCTCCACACCCAGAACCGTGTTGTGCCAATTTGTTTGCATGTTTCTTACTCAGGTTGACATAATCAATTAACTACACAAGTAGGAAGAGGCTTTTTGATGTGAACTGAAAGCAAAAATAAAATTCAAAATTAACTTGTCATTTCTGCTTGATAATGTTGCTGCTTTGCTTTTCCATTAGGAGACCCTCTTCTTCCTCATCTCTGTGTACATGGTACATGTTGCTGATCTGATCGGATGCACATGCCAGCAATCCATTTTCTTCATCAATTTGGAAAGTTTTTTCAAGTTTTGCCAATATTTGAAAAATTAGAGAAGGGACTGGCCTGATAGCTCAGCAGACTAAAGCGCTTGCTTTAGGCAGAGCACACCAGCCAGGGTTTGATCCCTGGTGTGGCGTGCCGTACCGGTCCCACCTGCCGATCCCCGGGCATGCTGAGATGGCAGTTGGGGTGTGGGTGTAAGCGCCTATAATCCCAGACTCTTGGGAGGCTGAAAACAGGAGAATCACTATGAGCCTGATCTACATAGTAAGACCCTGTACAACCTGTAGAACCTGTCCTAAATACAGGAGGAAAAAAGAAAAAGGAAAAAAATTCAAAAGAAAAATTAGAGAGTTTTGAAATTAGCTATATTAGGAGAAAGTACTTTGAAAATAAAGGGTAGTTAAATAAAAATTGAATTTAAATGAACTTTTGAGGATCTTCACTACAAAATATTTCTTTCAACTTTGTTCCTTGCAAACTGTAAAGAGCTAGGAAGTAGCTCAGTCATTGTCTTAAGTGCCTGACAAGGACAAGGTACTGAGTCTGATCCCTAGTACAAAAAAAGAAAATAATAATGTTTTCTCTTTAAAAAATAATAAAATGAAATAAAATATGCTCTTTAAAATGAAGTATATAAGTGTTTTCTCTAGTGAGGTATACCAAATATATAATTTAAGCATTGACAAGCAGTTGTACCCCTGTATTGTTTCCAATTTTATATTCTTTCTAAATACCAAAACCACTTAACCTGACCTTTGTACCCCCATGACTTAGTCTTTTTTTTTTAATTCATCTATTTATGTATGTATGTATGTATGTGTGGGTGTGGGTGTGTGGGGGGGGCCAGCTCAGCCCACCAGGGGGCAGGGCTGGCTGCATGTGGTGCTGGGAGATTGAACTGCGGTCCCTGTGCTTTGCTAAGCTTGTTCTAAGTAGGTGCTTTAGACCACTGAGCCATCTCACCAGCCCCCTCATGACTTAGCTTAATTTTACAATTTCACTTTATTTCTTTTCACCTTCCAGTCACAGCATCAATGAAGTCATTTTCATTCTTTTGTATATCGATACCCAGTTTTCCAACACCATATTGTCAAAAAAATTTTAAGTTTTATTTTTATATATACATGTTTGCAGTTCATAACAAATATACACCATTTTTTGAAGAGAATGTCCTTCATTATGTCTTTGGTAGCTTTGTCAAAAATAATTGACATATATCCATAAGTTTTTATCTGAGACTTTTCTGTTTCATTAGTTTATATATATATCCTTTTATGAAAGTATGTTTTAGTTACTGTCATTTTGTAGTCTTCTGATATTTGGAATCAAGAGGCATGACATATCTAGCTTTGTTACTTTTTCTCAGGATTTCTTTGATACTTAGGGTCCTTAGTGCTTTTATATGAGTTTTAGGACTTTTTTTCTGTTTCTATGTAAAATGCCTCTGGAATTTAGGTAGAGATTGTATTTGATCTATAGATTGCTTCGAGTAGACTGGGCTTTTTGACGAAATTAGTTCTTCCAGTCCATAACACATTGTATCTTTCCATTTATTTGTGCTTCAATTTCAGTATAGCTCTTTCCACTTCCGTAGTTAAAATTTATTGTGTATTTTAGTTTTTCTGTTGTAAATAGTGATCTTTTAATTTCTTTTTTCAGCTAGTCCATTGTGCACAGAAATGCAGTTGGATCTTACAACTTTATGGAATTCATTTATTCTAAGAC